ACGTCCACCTCTCCTACGAGAGCTACCACGTTGCTATCTTCAAGTATCGGGTGGACCCTTCCTATCCGCCTCAAAAACCGGTCAAAGGAGTCCTTCTTCTAGGCGAACCACTCGGAAGAACTTATCCCGACTCCACGACACGCACCAGTCCTCTCAGGAGGCTCTACACTTGAGGGCCCTGAACTTCGAAGACTGGGCGAGTTGGGAGAAGAGGTGCCATTCTACCTGACACCCCTCACCACGGCGCAGAACCAAGGAAGACTCAGGTGTTACTGGAGAAAGGCAGAAGAACCTACACACTTCTCGGTCCAACACACAATCGCGTGGTTGAGACGGGTCCTACGAGTTGGACGAAGGGACATACGGCAGAGCAGTACTAACAACGACTGTTCGGGCTGGTGAACAGCAGACGGGTTTGAATTGCTACCACAAACTTCGGTACATGTCCAAACGTCAGTACACGACTTGCGTCGCTTGTATCCTCCCGCTGAAATGTGCTGTCGGGACACCCTCTTGGGTCACGATTCCTACTCTAATCTCCTACACTCGAACGGCATAAAGATTGTACCGGGGTCGCTACAATCACTTCTTCAGGTCATAAGTCCAACGTTACTCCCTCCCGCAGCCTACGGTTCCAGTGACTGGAACCATTAGTCAAACCTTCCTCTACTTACACAATTTACGCACTCGGTTTCAGTTACTTGTCCTTAGCATGCCATACACGGAACGGAGACTAGGTCTACCATCCTCCCTTCCCCACATCACGACAGCCTCTTACCGCAAGTAGGCATGAGGACAAGTCTGCTATCCGTTTGACCATCCCCCAGTTCACACCCCACCTCCGGTACTAACTTCGGCTCGGTCCTGGTCTGGAGAGCCTTTGTGAAGTACTACCCCATGGCTACATTCAGTCGGTGTTCTCGACTATGTGCAGGCCCTACGGTAGCCCCGGTCGCCGGAGCACACAACCAGATCAAGTCGTACAGTAGACACGTCCTCTCACCCCAACGCCCGCTACAGACGTCTCCACCGGGATTACCCGCATGGAGTACTAACTGGGGACAGTTTTGCCCGGTATTTTTCATTAATTTCGAGTAGACCTCCTCTTCTCCCAGTCACCTGACCTGCACCCCCCCCT